ATTGTACAGTGGCATTAAGTGCCGAAATGTGCACCTCTGCCTACCCCTTCGGGCATAAAAAGGCGTGATGTTATGTTATGTTCAAAAAGAAATGATATCGGTTAAAAAAGGAGGTTCTCAGTTAGGTCTGTATGTATGATTGTGTGAGATTGTCTCGTGATTGGCTGGACCGATTTTGATTCTGTTTTCAGAAAACTGTTTGTTACACTTATGATTTTTTTTTATGGCATAAGCCGGTAAACGAGCAGACGGATCACCTGATGGTAAGCAATCGGCGTCGCCCATGGACACCTGGAACACCAGAGGCGTTACAAGTGCGTTACCGGCCTTTTGGGGATTAGGAGTTTGAGGATCGTTGGGGATTCAGGAATTGGGGAGATTGGGGAAAGGGAGGGTAATTATGTCTCCGGTAACCTCACTCACACGACGAAATACAACGCTATCGTAAGCATATTTAATTAATCGATTTCATAAAAAGAGGGGGTTGAAATCGTTTTTTTAACGTAATTTATAAAATAATTATATTATCTTAAATTCGAGTTAATTGGTAGATCGGCTGGTTAAGGTAATACAGTTCAATTAAATATGTATTAACTAACATATTCTGCGAGCTAACTTAAGCTACTAACTACTTTTCAATTTTATTTACTCAAAAATGTATTTTATGCTTTCCATCTATCTCTGTTCTAATTTGCATCAAAATAGGTACAGCAGTTTAGGTGTTTTAAGCATACTAGGTAAGTGTATTTATATTTTTTTGATACGTATAAGAAGAAGATATTTTATTAAAACAATAAATTACCTGTTTTCCATTATGCGTGACGGACTGTAGAATGGTTCTCAAAGTTTTGAATCCAACAGCGACATCTAGTAGATGGGCAGCGAAGAAGAAGTTGTTGAAGTTACCCATCACGGAGAATGAGAAGTACCATAGAGAATAGAGGAAGGAGTTGTCTGTGATCGTCACTCCCGCCTTCCATACTTGGTAACGCCAGTCTATATTGATTATGCTGCAAAAAGAAAATTATTAAGGTAAGATTCGAAATTAAAGTTTTTATGATGAGATTAGCTTCAGCCAGCGGTTTCGACCGCGTTGCCGTGGGATAAAAATGACCTATGCGTTATTCCAAACCATAATCTAACCTTGTTTGATTTTCATTTCGAACCCTTCAGCCGTTTTGACGTGAAACAGTAACACACACACACACACACACACACGTACATCATATACTTTCCCATTTATAATATATATATATAGGACTTTTGCTTGGAGTTAATGTAGACTTTTCACAAGTGTGTTAGAACCATGCTTCGGTACGAATGGGCCGGTTCGGCCGGAGTGATATCTCTTAGGCGCACCGGGCGTAGGAGAAGGGCCGACAACGCCCTCTCCCGGCCCCCATGAATGGGTCCAGGGGCGAAGGACTTGGGGAAGTCCCCGCCCCCGAATCGATAGACCCGAGTCGAAGGCGCGCGCGGGTGTCGGCGTGCGCCTTTGAGGCGATGCACGTGGTGCACTGCTCCGTGCAGGTGACGGGGCCCTGATCTACGGGCCGGCACTGTAATGCGGGGCTGCGGATGAATTTGGACTCCCGCGGCCCCGCAGGCACGTGCGAGGAGACACTGGGGTGGTTTTAGCCGGTAAGAGTCCGGCACACCCCTCCGCCTTTCCCCAGGCGGAGGCAGTCCATGAGGATTTCACCCCATAAAAAAAAAAAAAGACTTTTCATAAGTGTGTTAGAACCATGCTTCGGTACGAATGGGCCGGCTCTACCGGAGTGATACCTCGGCCGAGCAGAAAACCATAGTGAAACAACCGAAGCTTTGTGTTTCGTCACGTGAGTGAGGTTACCGAAGGTCCAAATCTAAACGTTTCAAACTCCGATCTCCAACCTGCCTACTAAGTGTGGAGATTATGGCAAACCCTTCCCTATACTCCTATAGAGGAGACTCGTAGTCCAGCAGTAGACTGTCTGTGGTTGCTGATGTGGTAAGCGATTATCACCGCCCATGGCCACCCAGTACACCAGAGGAGGTAGAACTACGTTGCTAGGCTTTTAAAGTAGGTATTATGTACGTAATGTTACTTACTCTAGTCGCTTCTTATGAAATAGGGTGTGGGTTCGAAACCTACCAACGGCAAGTATCATTGTGACTTTTTCCGAGTCATATATACTTTATAAGATTATTCAGACACCACTGACAAACGGTGAAGGAAAACGTCGTGAGGAAACCTGGACTTATAATTCCTGATCAGAACTTTGAAATCGCCAACTCGCATTGAGCAAGCGTGGTGATTAAAGTCAGCAGTGGCCATTTATAGGCTATTGATGTGATGTATTACTTACTAATGAATCAGTCCCTTGCTGCCTTCTTCTTCTTGAGCAGAGAAGGAAGTCTTCTCCATGCCCAGCATGTTGGATATGGAGTCGAAGTCATAAGTCTCGGAGTACTTGGCACGAACCTTCTTCTTCACGAACTTATCCCAATAGTTCACCGGGAACGATCTGATAGAATAATAATACGATAGGTTTAATAAAGAGCACGCCTTTTATCCCCGGAGGGATAGGCAGAGGTGCACATTATGCCACTGTACAATGTAACACTTTTCACTATTTATGTTATGAGTCTCATGTAATAGGGGGTGAACCTATTGCCATTTACCGGGCATAATTCCAGACTCCGTGCTACTACTGAGAATATTTAAAAACCCAGTAATACTTTGTCCGACCCGGGAATCGAATCCGGGACGTCTTGCCAGGCAGTCGGTTTTAAAAAATAAAAGAAAATAAAAATCACTGTTTAATCAACAGTATGTATTACCTACTATTTGTTGTAAGTATCCTAATCATTCCTAACATTCCAAAATAATAACGTGAATTTTGACAAAATTAAATGGTGAAGAATGAAAAAAATATTGAAAATTTTAAAAAATACGTTTCTCGTTTATTCACTAATTTATTGAAAGAGAAACTGGATTACTTTCAAGCCATGCTAGAGGCTCATATTCATATGGGATTCGAACCCAACAGCCAAAAGCGTCCACACCACAAATAGAAGTGCGCGCGGCCGGCGGGGGCCGCCGGGGGCCGACCCGCCGGGGGCCGACCCGCCGGGGGCCGACCCGCCGGGGGCCGACCCGCCGGGGGCCGACCCGCCGGGGGCCGACCCGCCGGGGGCCGACCCGCCGGGGGCCGGCAGCTGCGACACTCGCCGCGTCGCGGGCCGAGAAATGTTGCTAACATGGCTTGAAACTAGTCGAGTTTATTGTCAGATAATTAGGTGAGTCGACAACATAACTAGTATATCTCATGAAAGTAATAATAATTATAAACATTAAAAAATTAACAATAAATTCTTCAAATAAGGAAAACGAATAAATGTGGATATTAATTTTAACTTCTTTTTGAAACATACTTTAAATCTTTTCTAGTTTAAATCTTTTACATCATGAACTAAATATTTTTTCTTCGAAAGAGTATTTGACTATTACGTAACAAATTTGCATATTCTCCAACTATAAAAATATGACGTATCTCTCTCTCACACGCATCCACCTCCCCATCTTCTCCTTCTCTTTCTGTATACATCTTTTTCTTACTAAAACTTGATAAGATAAGTAACTACTAACTTGGCAGATATAACAAGTTTATCCCAGTGGCTCTTGAGGTCGTCGTCTTCTGGCTGCTCAGCGATGTAAAGACCATCAAACTCCAGCTTACGGGCGATCTCTTTCTCACGCTTGAAGATAGCTAGTGGCACCTGGAAGTATTATGAATAATTTTAATACTGGTTTATTTCTGTTTGGTGAAGCTGTGCTGTACTGTAATGGGATCTTTGCTTCGATTTGACGTTCAAAAGTGCCTGTTGACGTTCAATATTGCCTTTCTGGGCCTTTAGCCAAACGCCACTTTAGCGCTTGTCTACAGAGAGAGTAGAAATCAAAATGTATGGGGATGACACTGACAAGTGTCAAAATTTACGTCAATTCCATATTATTTGGTTTTATATTCTACATGTAGACCAAGTGCTAAATGACCATTTGGCTACAGCTGCTGGTCTATTTAAAATAAATGATTTTGACTTTGACTTTGATTTTGTGGTCGGCTAAAGTGATTGCTGAAATTCTTAGTAAAGAATAAATGTACGCATTCGTGGCAATAGGTTAGCCAATAGTTATAATGGGACTATTTTTTTATTTAAGGAAGTATGTGTACTACAATTACAAAGACTTAGCTGAAGTAATAACAGAAAAACGTAACATAATATCACGCCTTTTAATTTTTATCCCGGAAGGTGTAGCCAAAGGTGCACATTACGGCACTTAATGCCACTGTACAATGTAACACCCACTTTTCACTATTTATGTTATGAGTCCCATGTAATAGGGAGTGAGTCTATTGCCGTATACCGAGCACAATTTCAGACTCCGTGCTACTACCGACATTTTTTTTAAAACCTAGTAATAGTTCTTTGCCCGATCCGGGAATCGAACCCTTATCGTTCCTTGCCCGGCAGTCGCACTTGCGACCACTTCGTAAAACTGACCTTAAGATGGTAATATCCAATAAGTATAGCCAGAGACACGATGGAGTGCAGTACGGCGGCCACTTTGATGACATGCTCCATGTAGAAGAAGTCCTCGTCTATATGTACCACTTCTAAAGCATCGTCGTCTTCACCTGATTCACCGCTACCACCTTAGAAAACGATAAACAGTTTCGTTTTTTGTAATTTGAGTTCTATATTCAAAATGTTAAGGTTCAAAATTTAACTGAACCTTCGCCGTTTAGCTATCTTAGGAAGCATTTTTTTATTTTTAAATAAATAAAAGTTATGTACCATCTCCACTGCCAGATCCTGAGCCCGATCCAGATCCAGCGATGATATCGCCCAGACCAGAACCCTCGCCACCTTCCGCGTCCAACGTAGACACCTGCGAAATCATCAAAAATAGTTAGTCTCCTTATTTCTCTTACTTTCTGTCTGTCTGTCTGCATATTCCCTTTTCTGATTTCATTAACTCGTCGAGTACCGTCATTATAGACACAATTATAGAACAATAGGTTGCGGTCACCGGTGACCGCTTGGTGTTTGACAGTTTAATATTCATATGCCCGAATACTGAAACGTTACTCAATTTTAAGTCGCCCTTAAGTATAGTTCTGTCACTACAAATTCTTAGTAAAATGACAGAGATGGCACGATATTTAAGCACGACTTAAAATTGAGTAACGTTTCAGTATTCCGGCAATATTCATTTATTTGCATACCATAAAGTGAATAAGATGTTACAATAGGCTTAAAGCTAAGTACATTAATTACGGAGTCCGTAAGAGCACAGCAGCATTTGATAATATGAAGTAAAGATTTTTAAAACAAAGTTGACCTTTAACCGACTTCAAAAAGGAAGAGGTTCTCAATTCGACCGTATATATATATTTTTATCATCTACCTATAATACCTATTAATCAAAATGTAACATATTGAATTTAACCTAAAGAAAGTCAAAATGAAATAATTACAATCAAAACAAAGTAAAGTAGTAAGTAAAGTTATGGAATTGGGTACTTAGCACTGGGTACTTAATACATAATAATATGATTCAATTAAAGTAATATATATAAATATATGTGCACAAGTACAATATATATGTAAAGTATAATTTTTACTTCCGAAACAAGTATTTTTTTCTATATCATATCCCAGAATCTCACTCACCTTATAGAACAGCAGTACAAAGTTGATACAGAAAGCCAAGACGAGGGCGACGTATTTCAAATTATAGAAGTTTCGAGCCAAGAAGGAGACCGCACGCCTGGTGTACTGGGACAGGTCCACTTGTGATAACGCTGATGGAGCCGGACCTTGGACTGCCTGCAAGAAGAATTAGGGAGTTTTAGAGAAGAATGGGTAGAAGAATAGGAGCTTTAAAGGACAGGTAGATACTAAATAAGAAATTATAGAACTTTTCTTTTTAAAGATACTAAAGAAGAGAATGGGCAGATACTAAAGAAGGAAGAAAGAACTGTAGGGACACATGTAAGGGACACTTTTTGTTTGTGATTGTAACTTTACCTCTGACCCGTTTGCCAAACGTGGAGGTTATGGCAAACTATCTTACTATGTAGAGAAGGCCCAATCTAGCAGTTGATTGTAACGGGTTGTTGTTGGTGTAGGTACCAGTCTTTTAATTGGAACAAAATGTAGTATTTATTTGCAGTTCCTTCACGTACTGATTTTAATAAAATAATTACAGATTTTTATGATTATCTATTTAGTAAAGACGAGCGTAAAGTCTTTCGAGTAGAACAGGAGAAAAGACCGGAGAAGACTGCAAAAGACCATAAACATACGTAGTCGTAATTCTAGAAAATGAAACACGATTTACCTTTTTCGGCCTCAAAAATGATTTGGAACGTCCAAGCTGCGTTGAATGGCAAAAATGGTAGAATGAATGAACCAATAAATATTGCGTAAATCTAAAATAAGCTTACATTAATGTATGAATTCGATGTGAAAGCTTTATGAGTTGCTATTATTACCTAACAGGACAGTTTTTTTAGTTATTTTAATTTGATTTGTCTTTAAATAGTCTACTTCGCTGCTCATACGCGACTTATAAGTTGTCATATTAGATCTATTATGGTGATGACTGATGATGATTGTGAATTAACTGAATTAATTGTGCCAATTTTTTTAACAGAAACATTAGTATTGTTTTTATAATAACTATCGTGAGACATAATAAATAAATAAAAAATCGCGGGTTACTCACGTGAGTATACTGAGAAAAGCTCTACTAGTTTCGAACCACAGTAGGCTGCGCGACATCGCCGCGACCACGCACGCTGTTCATGAGGAAGAACCCCTCTGTGGTTCGAAACTAGTATGCGATTTATTATTATTGCGATTTTAGCTAGTTTGTCATAAATTAAGCTGTTTTACCTTTTTGCTCTCAGCTTCAATAGCGGACATAGCAGCTTGTTGGGCAGCCTGCGCTTCCATACGTTCTTGAGCCTGCTTCTTCGCTTGTTCTCCTCTGTTAGCGAAAAAAAATGTAAATTGTTGAGCAAAAAGAAAGTAGAATTACGATACATGATGATAGATCTTAACCCTATTAAGTATCTCTTAAGTAATCATCGCTTATAGCTGGGTGGTGGTCAAACGTCGAATCATTTATAATATCAAAGTGACGCTTCTGAAAATCTACTCAATTTTAAATTTTACTTAAATATCGTACTCTTTCTGTCATTTTACAAAGAATTTGTAGCGACAGAACTATTCTTTAAACTGAGTGACTTAAAATTGAGTGACGATTCAGTATTCGGACAATACATTGTTAATTCTTTTTAAGTAGTAAGTTACATTTATTTACCCAAGTAGATCGATGAGTGACGGTGGTCTCTGTTCCTCAGGATGGTCGGCGTTCTCATCAGGAGATACTTCAGCCTCCTCGCCGGAAGATGGCGTTGATGTGCTCGGTGACTCGTGCGGTTTTACCTGTATCCTGGTATAATTAAGTATTTCTAAATTAAAATGATTGTAAGATTTGTAGGAGTAGGCTCTCGGTTTTTACTCTAGTATACTTCTTCTTATCTTTACCAGGATACCAGGATTAATTAGAATCTTATTCTTTACCAGCCAATGCAGGTAAAGAATAAGATCTTATCATAAATTTAACCACGGATGTTTATTAATTGTCGGACTTTCAGTGTGGGAGAGCCATGTTTCGGCACGAATGGACCAACTCGACCGGATTGATACCACGGCCTAACAGAAAACCGACGTGAAACAATACTTGCGTTGTTTCGTCGTGAGAGTGAGGTTACCAGAGGCTCAATTATCCCCCCCCTTCCCCAATCCCTGAATCCAACAATATTCAAATTCCTAATCCCAGAAGGCCGGTAATGCACTTGTAACGCCTCTGGTGTTCCAGGTGTCCACGGGCGACGCCGATTGCTTACTATCAGGTGATCCGTCTACTCGTTTACTGGCTAAAACCATAAAAATAATAATAAAGCCCATAAATTCAGAACTCTTCTCTAAAAAAGAAGACAAAAAATGCGTAAATTCCTGATAAAAACCAACTTACTGTCCATTGTCTTCTTTAGTGATATCCAGTCCGAATGCGGAGACCTGCATCTGCCCAGTGTCGTCAGCTGGTGGTAACGCTGGTAGATGTCGAGAACCTGGCATAGCAGAAGTTAAATCTCATATCATTGTCCCATAAGAAACCTTCGGATTCATTTCACTGAACTGGCAGGTTAAATGACAATCTTAACGAAGGCCTTGTATGAGTTCGAGACCCCGTTCCAATCTCTGATTGGTTGGATCATTGGAGCCGGCCAATCAGAGCGCCGAATGCGGTCTCGTTTCGATTACTTTAAACGTGAAATGAACTTGCACTAATCCCTCTGATAGTTAATTTTTTTTTAATTTCTATTAAAATGTGCGTCAATTAAAAACAAAAAAAATGGACTGCCTAAAGCACGTCTTCTCATTACCCTTTCCCAGATTGGATTAGGTTACTATTAGTCTGAATCGTGTTTTATATACAGGATAATTTGTATCAAGTTTCGAAAGCTTCCAATTAACTTTCAATTATTTTTGGTATATGTAACTCTAACACTAATTATAATAGAGGAGATCTTGAGAAAAAATAAAGGATTATAAATTTATGTAACGACACACATAGTTTATTTAACCAAACTTTACGTGTCTGCCTATTCTCGCTTAAATAAATTCTTGGCTTCATTGCCTGAAGTAGTTAAATGAATAAATAAAGAAAATTTGACACAATGTTATGCTAAAAAACAACATTGACACTTTAAGGCCACAATTTCGACAAATTACACCAATAAGCAGAGTACATAATATTATGTTAAGCAGATCACAACATAGACGTTTCATCTTAAAAATATCCCAGAAGGAAATTTAAAAATATGTATCATTATATTATAGTTTAAGAGCCAGATTAAAAAAGACGGAAAAAAAGTCTGACCCTGCTGTAATATTTGAAGCAGAATCTATATATATTCTTTATTATATATATTCGATATTCTTCGTGTTTTTTGCGACAAATTCGATACCAATAAGAATAGAAGATGTACCAATAAGAAATGTTAACTGATAATAAAAATAATTCTTTAATTCGATAATGAAAAGTAAAGATAGAAGTAAGTTTTGTAATTTTTCTTAAAAAAAGATTTTTTATCACCAGCTCTTAAAATATCATCTAAAACATTGTTATCTTACCTCTTGTTATCCAAAAGCAGATTTGTTACAACATTTTTTGTTATAATAATTAATAAATTAATGCCAATAATAAATTAATAACAAATTAATTTTGAAATCGTTATGTTTTTGTTACATTATTGTTAAACCTGCGTTTGGCGATTAAATGTCGACTCTTGTTGTTGCGTTTGGTCACTGTTGGGCTACGTCACATTTAAAAAGAATAGACAATAGGAAAAATGGAAAAGCTAATAATAGTGAAAACTACTTCGATGTCTAAATGAATGAAATGAATCCAACAACATGAATAAAGAGAATTGCCACCGAAATAAATTTATGTGAATCAACGCTTTTTGCGATGATAAGAGGTCACTAGAATTATTTTTTTTTAATTTTCAGCATTTTTTGAGCTGAGTAACAGTACTGAAAGTCGAACTGTGGATAGAAAATAAGCTGATGCTGACGATTATAGTAGATAATAGCGGTGATAGTAACGACTGTGATAGTAACGATAATGACAGTACTGATAATGCTAATGATCTTTGTACCTATTGTGTAACTAGGTACCTATTGTGCGACATACAAAATTAATTGAAGACAACAGTTGAGTCATTGTTCAGAAATAAGAGCTTTTCTTTGTAATTTCACGTGAGTAAACCGTTATCTTTAATCAATGATAATTATGATAATGATAGTGATATTAACAATAACCGTGGCGATGATGACGATAATGGTGATGATAATCATAACGATAACAATATGATATTGACAATAACAAAAGAAAATAATCTCTATTGACGTAGCCAGTGACCAAACGCGCCAGTGCGAAGCGGCACTCGTGTGTATACCTGTTCATGTTCTTACTTTGTGTGGCTAGCAACCTGTGTCTTAACTGACCGATTTTCTCCTCCTCTGTCGGTTCGGGCGGCGGTTCGTCCGTCTGTGGACCTCTCATCAGACCGAGAAGGACGCCGAATATGTACCTACAGGTTGATTAAATATAATATGGGTTAAATGAGATATTAGTTATGAATGGGTTAAAAAATAAGTGGTTGGAAAGAAATTATACTCCGCTGTTTTGAACATGTTTATAAGGCAAATATAGAAAAAAATGCAGTTTTATAGCCGACCATTTCATTCAGTTTTGAGAGCTTTTTATACGTCATTGTTAAAATATGGTTTGTAGATATAGAAAATAATAAAAAAATGCTGAGGAAGCAGTGTCTATTAGACTTTTTTTTACAAGTTATCACATTTTAATATCGACACGTAATAAGTATCGATGTTTCGATTTTTATTATAATATAAATTACGGAGTATAATTTCATTTCCTTCATTTACAAAATCAGTATTTAAAATATTATATCTTCAACATAACTACTTGCACAGTAATTGTACAGTTTTATCTCAGAAGGAAATAGTAATTTAAGACGTTTGCACAGTGCATAAGTTTTTAAGCCATATATCTATATAGTGCTATTTAGGACTACAGTGGTCTATTACTACGACCATCGACATATACTAATGGATATGCCTTAGAGATGATAATAGTGGCACTTCGAAAGAAAGAGAGGAAACGAAGTTTCGATCTATCTTTATCTCTCTTAAAATAATACCGTAGTTAAGACGTTATGATCGAGAAAGAGATAGCGCTAGACCGAAAGCATAGGCCATCTCTCTCACTCTTTTCAAACCAAAAAATTACTGCAGATTATACGCGTACGGCATGTCCATTAGTATATGTCGATGACTACGACAACATAGATTTTATCATAGACAATCTAGGTACACATTAACATAAACTATACATAGAGTGGGTAGAGTAGTCAATTGGTAATTAATAAAATTAAAAACTGAATGTATTGAGAATTGAATATTAAATAGGTAAATTTTATGAAATCATTATTAAGAACATTCGTTGCTAAAAAAAGATTTTTAAGGTTTTTCTTAATTCACGATGGACTGTCCCATATAGAACATTTTTTAATTCTCATAGGGCAAGGTACTGTCTAATTACGCAACGCTAATATACACACATACACACACTATCCTTTTGATGCATTGTATATTTGTATCCTACCGGATACTATCTGTTATCCGGATTCGTATATCTGTGTCGGATTCGTGACAAACATTTTTTCTTAATTTATTTTGTACAATGAAGGCTACCATTTTTTATCATTAGATGGCGCTAACATTAATATTTCTTAAAAACCGTTAGTCGAATCATTTATAGACGAATAAATGCGATGTCCAATAGTTTAAGACTATCTATTCGACAAATTGATCTTACGGTACGTTAGTGCCATCTAGTGAGAAACAAAAGAGTAGCTTTCATAAGTGGACGACCATGCATAGTTTTTTGAAATTTGATATAAAATTATATATATAAAAAAATGTGAACGGTGAAAGAAATAGCAAGATGTGGATGAACAAACATACAGTGTTGTTACAAGTACCTAAAGGTTGTTTTATCAAATTGCGAAACGGTTTAAAATATAATTAGTCTACTTTAATATCTGTCTAATTTGTTTAACTCATAGAGTGTTTCGTCAGTCGCAGATGCCTGACGCTAGTGGAGGTTTGACTTATTGGCTATGTGCAAAGCAGGTAGTGGCGGACAGATAACGACCGCAGCGCACAACGCGGCAGAAATTGGAAACATTTGCGGATGATCAGCTGTCAAATGTGTTGATTGCAGTACAAAATCAAAGCAAAGAAATGGACCATGGCTCGTATTAAGTACCTCTGGCCGTTATGTCGCAGTTCTTCCACATTTTTTACATGCTCGGCTAATACTAATTTATTGCCTTTTGTCTCAGTTTGTGGTTGGAAACTAATATTATGTGTAATAGTTTCAAACCCGGTTTTTATTATTATATTCATTTTACAGTAAAACTATTGAATAAATTGCACTTAAATAATGTAAACAATACTATTTTAATTTATGGTTTTATTTATATTTGCAAAGAAAATTATAATGTTTATATTGATATTATTTGACAGCTTCTGCAAATGTTGTAAACGCTACGCGTCGCCACCGTCGTGCACATAGCCAATACTATTTTAAAACTGACAGTTAGTGTTAAAAGTGTTTCAAAATTCATATTTCTCTAATGATATATGTATGTATAAGCCTTGTTTAGTATGCCTAGTGATTATGCTAATCAAAGGCTTTTACTTTATGCAATTCATAAAATGGAAAGATTTTATTAATTATAACACTAACTCAAAAATATTGCCTCAAAAATGACCTGAGGAAATAGAAAATTTTGTATTGCCTACTCTAATGACGTCACAATTCAATAAAACACCTAATAACCACAACTTTTGAAATAGTGAAGCATTTACCAATGACTGTGCATCAAACGTAGCGTGGAACATAAACGTAATAATTACTCATGACGTTCGATTCAAATATCAACCTTATATTCAAGACAAATAGAGTTCAAATTGCAACTCACCTGATCACGACGAGCATTCCGTAGCCCAAGTAATAGAATAATAGGAAGAACATTTTGAAGAAGCCCACTGCAAGTTCTGCTGGCGGCATTTGTTGGAGATCTGCGATTTTCGCCTTTATGTTCGATGGGGATAAGGATGAGAATGCTGTGTAGATGCCGTCTTTTACTGATTGGAGACCACGACGGAATGGATCTTTGCCGGCTCTGAGAGAATAAAAACACAGAAAACATGTTTGTTAAGAGTGACCATGGAGTTTCTTGCTCGATCTTCTTCTTTCGAAACCACTCTTTGGAACAAGCAGTTTCACTGACAGACAGACGGACGGACAATTCAATTTTGACGTTTCAAAAGTGCCTAACTAAGGATTAATTGAAATAAATGCTTTAACTTTGAGATTGTTTAATATCACACTTGTATTTTTGAGTAGTAGTTTGAGATGTCGTAAAGTTTCGAGTGCAGGCTCTCTGACTATATTATTGTTCTTAGTTAGTCGAATGCCTCATTGGCCGAGTTGTCCCAAGTGCGACTGTCGAGCAAGAGGTCTTTTTTTTTTTTAAGGGGGGAAAATCATCGAATGACTGCTCCCGCCTGGGTGAGGCGGGAGGGAGTGTCAGACTCTTACTGACTAAAAATCACCCCGTTCCTTCTCCTGTACGTCGAGTCGGAGCCCCGGTTACCCGTTAGGTTCTCCGCGACTCCGAGAGCAAGAGGCCTAGGGTTCGATTTCCGGGTCGGCCAAAATATTACTGGGTTTTTAAAAAAATCTCAGTCGTAGCACGGAGTTTGGAATTATGCCCGGTGTATGCAATAGGTTCACCCCCTATTACATGGCACTCATAACATATGTAAATAGCGAAAAGTAGATGTTAAATTGTATAGCGGCATTAAGTGCCGAAATGTCCACCTCTACCAACCCCTTTAGGAATAAAAGGCGTGAAGTTATGTGTTATGTTAGTCGAATATCAAATCCCTAATTCCTAAAAGGCCGGTAAGAAAACTCTTCTGGTATTCTCATGGTCCACGGTCCATTATCCATGGGCAGCATCGATTGCTTACCATCAGGTGATCCGCCTACTCGTTCTCCGGACTATCTCATAAAAAAATTATAAGATATTGCAAAATTCTTGTTTTGTTCTAGTTTAATAATAAGTATCGTGAGACATACAGAATGAACTAAATATACTGAGATAAGCACTACTACTCTCTAGCCACAGAGGGACTCTTCCTCATAAGCAGCGTGCGTGGTCGCGGCGACGTCGAACACTCTACTGTAGCTCACGAGTAAGAGCCCTTCTATGACTCGAAACTAGTAGAGCTTTTCTCAGTATACCGTATGTAGAAAACTCTTATACATTTATTTATGCAACATACTTGTTATCGTCTATACTGACAATGTACAAAAAATTAGCAAAATCGGCCCAGTAGTTAAGCCAAAAAGTGCATTTTTCTCTTTGAGAAAACGTAAACACTCTTTAAGTTCATTGACGCAGGTCAATGCACTCCAATGCGCGACGTTGCCACTTTTCCTGTTTCGGTTTTCAAAATGAGAAAAGAATTGGTATAATCCTAACCAGACCCAAAATAATATGATAAGTATGTCACTGCACCGTCCACTAATCCACATTTTAAAAGAAATAATCGCGATGAATCTTTAATTTACACTGTAGGTACGCACATTAAGCTATGCTAAACCAGTATAAACTGATCGTTGAATATGAAGAAAGATCATACAAAACGAGACCAAGATAAAATGGTTGTTGTTCTTGTAGGTACTCGCCGTCTGTGTTAAACTATTTATTTGCCATATTCAATGAAGATGTCGATTCACGAGTTTGATTGAAAAAAAAAACACCTCAATTCCATTCGGCTCTTGATTTGAAAACTAGAAAACACGTTTCATAAACTTTTTGTGTACCTACACAAACTTCTAGCCGCTTACAACTAGTTACAATACCTTTTATTATGAAAAGAACGAATAAAATTACCTTTTTCAGTTACGCCTAATCCGGGCTAACACACGTTTAGTTTACGCCTTAAAAAAATCTTTAAACGACAACACGGATATCTCTCACTTGTTTAATTCATTTAAACACACATCACTGATCTTACTGTTGCAATTTTCCATAATTCATTTACAGTTACAATTACAATTTATTTACTTGCACTCAGAAAACCAATCAAAACAAAATTCCGCGTAAAGCTCAAGTAGGTATAAATTGTTTTGTTTGCAATGAAGTAGTAGTTCCTACACGAACCACGCTTACACAATGGTTGGGTGGCGGCGCTGGTGGCAGTGAAACCAACAGTGAAATTGTGCAAATATCGATTTCACAAAGAGTGTTTGGCATTTTGTAGTAGTTCGGCAATTTCTCCATAGATGGCACTATTACAATTTCTTCAAATTATGAATCAAAATTTATTAAAATTACGAATTTATTAAGGAGTCTGACATTTGTATCGAATTAATGAGTGAAATTACGTATTTATTTACCTTTCTAAGTCGATTACCACATTTAAGAATCTCTTTCTGCCAATATCGTCTAGTTGACACGGAAATTGTACAAATATCGATATCACAAAGAATGTTGTAGTAGTTCGGATTTTTTTCCATAGATAGCACTTTTTCAAAAACCAAATTATGAATCAAAAATTTATAAGTTAAGAAATTCGTCGAAAAGTACGAAAGTACGTATTTATTTACCGTACGTATTTCTAAGCCGATTATAACATGTAAGAAAGAGAAGATGCGAATATCGTCTCGTTGACACGCACTTGTCAGTAAATAATGAAGTAGGTAGGTAGTCACAGTTGTAATACCCTTGTTCATAACATTATTGCAACCAAATGTCGGGTAGTTAACCGTTATCAAATATTAATTTAATAATTTAATTTATTCTTCAAAGATACCTATTAAGTACCTACATCGGAAAACAAAACTAATAGGTACAGTGGCCAGCAGATCAACGTACACATCTGACAAATTTATTAATTGGATTTTCGACTTTATGTCAATACGATAAAGTTGAAGTTACCGTACCACTAATAAATAGGTGTAAGTACATCAGCAGTGCCGTGTATGTAATAGCCGCACCAGCGGTCGGTTTCTTTTGACGGCTTTTGTCAAAGATACCGCCGCTTGCGGCGGCATCGTGAAAGGGGTAGTTTCCCTTTCAGTACGCCGCGTTTGTGATCGAATGAGTTAGAAAATAAAATTTGTTCATCAGTTCACTGCTAGACTTCCGGGATAGTGTGTGTGCTTTTCGCTAATTTCCGACGGGTTACGCGCGCGTTGTGCTAAACGATTGTTGTTGTTTTTTGTAATTAATTATTATTTTAGTTCTTAGTTTTTTTAATTATTACCTAGTTTTCTTTACTGTGAACCGGACACTGACATTTGTACTTTTGTTAACTGTGTATTTTATTTTATTTATTTAACTTTTAATTGTGTGTTTACGTGTGTCTGTGTGTTGTGCCGAAATGCCGCGATATTATTACATGGTGAATGTCATCGTTAGCGTCGGCTCTGCGAACTTATCGGGGGAGGTATGGCGCATCTCGTCACTGTTCGATTGATGTTTGTACAAAGGCTTAGAGAAAATCTGCCCATAGTGCCCAATACCCATGATGGAGCTTTGCTGGTCGGCAAACTTCATCGATCTTGGAACAAAGGGTTTTAGCCTATTTCCGCAATAACCCAACCTGCAGTCTTAGGCAAGCAGGGCGTACGTTCCGTTATCGTCCAATGGTTCACGAGTTCAAAGAGTGAATGAGCCCCGTCACTGCAGTGTTACTACCAAGCCGCGTCACGCGTGCCTTCCATAACGTATGCGACGTTGCCGCTCTTCTGAGGTCAAGGTACGTTGTTACACAGAGTGTTATACTTTCTTGAATCTATTTTATTATTTGTTTTGTTTGAAAATTTCACTTTTTTAATTTAAGTTTTTCGTCTAAATCTTTGGTCGTGTTATACTTCTGTGTAATAATACTACATTATAGTTCATTTATTGTTTAAGTCCGTGCCACATACTGTATAATTACGTAATTTTAATTAATTTTTTTTTGTTTATTAAAACATTCAATATGACCTCTACGATGACCCTGATAATTAGATATATAGAAACATCGTCTAAATCATCATCAGACGGATATACTGACCTCTCATCATCATCATCTCCCATATACATGTAGCTAGCCTCCCTATTCTTGGTTCCCCCGACAGACTCCTCGGACGCGGCCATGAGTCCGGACGCGTGAGTCATTTCAAAGATGGCGTCCTCACAGAAGTTGACGAAGGCCTCCAACTTCTCCTTGTCTCCTCCTTCTGTTACTATGCTGTAGAAGAATGCGCGTTTGGATTCCTGGGAAAAATGAATAAATTTTGAAGGTGAACAAGACTCTGGTTTGTTTATTTGATATTTTTTAAAGATTTGAATGGGCACAGGAATGACATAACATAATATCACGCCTTTTATAACTGAAGGGACAGGCAGAAGTGCAAATTACAGCATTTATGCCACTTTACAATGTAACACTTACTTTTCATTATTTATGTTATGAGTCCCATGTAATAAGGGGTAAGTCTATTGCTATATACCGGGCACAATTCCAGATTACATACAACTGAGATTTTTTTTAAAACCCAGTAATACTTTGCCCGACCCGGGAATCAAACCCGAGACCCCTTGCCGCAGTCGCACTTGCAACCACTCGGTCAACGAGGCAGGCAGGTAAAGGAATTGTTTAAGTGGTTTATGTCGAAGTCACCTCTGTCGTTTTACAAAGAATTTATAGTGACATTTGAGTACTCTCACAATAGTGATTTGATAAATATGACCTCAGGACATATTGGCGCTACCTGGTGATCAGAAAAACATAGCCTTTATTAGGTATGAAATCGTACCTTAATCTGTGGTTTCTCCCACTGTTCGATGTTAGACTCCTTGATCTCGAAGTAGACTCGCTCTATCCGCTTGGAGCCGCCCATGATCTCGATGCGACCGAGGAATGGCTCGAAGTAGTTCAGGACAGAACCAGCTGTCTCTAGGAAACGGGCCAACCTGAAATTTAAATATTTGAGTAATTTTATACAAGACTAGCTGACTAGGAAAATTTCCTACCGCCCTAAATCTTTATTTCTAATTTTTTTTAATTCTTCCTGGACTTTTACAAATATTCAATCCAAATCCAAAATTAGCCAAATCGGTCCAGCTATTTCTGAGTGTTAGTGAGACTAATAAACAGTAATTCATAGATATTTTTTACGGGTTAAGCCGGTATGCGAGCCGACGGATGCCCTGTTGGTAAGTGTTACCGGTTTTCAGGATAATTGGGGAGATTGGGGGGGGGTAATAGGGCCTGCGGTACCCTCACTCACGCGAAGAAACACAACGCAAGCATTATTTGACGTCGGTTTTCTGTGAGGTCGTGGTCGTCTTACTACGGTCGAGGCGGTCCATTCGTGCCGAATCGTAATATATCTAGATTATAATGTTTTATCGATTTACTTAAATCAAAATGAAACTGGACTGCCGAGCAGTGTCTCGCATTCCCGAGTCCAGCAAAGTATTACAACGGGCCTTTTCGATTTTTTGAAAAATTTGTAATAATACGGAGTCTGAAACTAATATGGGAATTAGGTCACTTCTATACATGAGACTCATAACATAAGTGATAGATAGTAGACATCCAATCAGAGACTCAATGATCAATATCTAAATTCAGTCTTTACAATAGAAACACTCACCTGGGTTCATTAGGCATATGTTCAGACAAATTGGTGAGCAGTACAGCCAAGTTGAACCCGATCTCCTTGGCAGGTTCATGGAACCGGTCACAGAAGCCGATGTAGTCCAGTTTCCCATCGTGGTTCGTCTCACAGCATGCTAGGAGGAACTCGATTTCTTCACTGTGGGTCACACCCAAATGGGAGATTTAATAGTTACTTACTAAATAACAAATTTTCCTTATAAAAATGCAGATGATAGTAAATAAGCGAGCAATAGTCTTTGTTCGTTTTCCCTCGGTTCTTTTTTTATAATCATTCGGCGCGCCGGATCCATTGGAGCAGGCCAGTCAGAACGCCAAACGCAGTAACGTTTCGATTTCGTTAAACGTAAAATGAACTTGGGCTAAGCCCTCTGATTTGAAGGTAAACTTAGGTAAGTTTAGTCTAAGATATAGAAATGAAAATTTATCGAATATCGAAATTATTAATCTGATAAATACGAATAGAAGAATTAATATTCTTCAGATTATTTGATAAAAAATATCGATTTTTAGTTTTTGTACAATCATGGATTAAAATCTGAGATCTCATGATGCAAAGAAGCATTTGAAGGCAATTCAAACTTTATAAAATTTTACCAATTTTTTTAGACGAAAGAACATTTTTTTTGCTTGACATCATTTGATCGCTAGACCTCTTGATACCTATAAAACACACACGTCAATGTCATTATATGAACCAAAGAGTCTACTGTTTACTTACGGTGTATAACTCTTCTGCTGTTCCATCTTCTCCTTAAAGTCCTTAGGCAGCACCCATCCATCATTATTAGCATCAATCTCCTGGAAGCTGGCGCTAGATGTCAGGTCCTTCAGTTTCAGGAACATGTCGAAGTATTTCAGGATCAGCTCCACGTTGGATGCAGATTCTACTAGCGTATCCACCATCTGCTTACCGATAGTGCCTGGGGAATGGAATATTTGGATTAGCTTATTTAGCCAAGCGTGTGTTTCATGAGTAAGGTGTATGCCTCTAGAGTTCCGGGTGTCCGTGGACGACGCCGATTGCTTACCATCAGGTGATTTGTCTGTTCGTTTATTGGCTTATCCCATAAAAAAATAAAATAAAGAAATATAAAAACACTTCCGAAATAAGAGATTAGAGAGACGACGAGCATACATCAAAAGACTTGATGAAGCGAAAGAGGTATGTAAGAATCGTAGCAATTGGTGTTCCATAGCTGCATGTCTCTGCTTACCCGCATGGGAGACAAGCGTGAGTTTGTATATGTGTGTATGTCTATTTGAAGTAACTTCTTATGGCACGTTTTATTCCCTATCCACTTTACCGTTAACAACGTTTCCTTCCAGCATAGACAGCATCATAGTGATCATATCCTTCTGCAGGTTGAGGAGTTCCTTCAGCAGGTCCACCTGGGACGAGTGTTTCGACAACTTGTCCTGCATGTGGGAGAATAGGAACAGGAAACCACCTACTGCGTCCCATAACCTGGAATAAATGTTGATGGTTAGATTTTGTATGTTCTAGTTCATCGTAAAAAAACGTCTCATCTCAGAAGGTGAGGAGGAGAAAAATCATTCTTCTATAGAGAATATGTGGTTCAATTTTAATAAACAGAAAAAGGTTAACCTGTCCCTTATTTCTCGGCCGGAGTGCTACCACGGCCGAGCAGAAGACCATAGTGAAACAACCGAAGCGTTGTGTTTCGTCGTATGAGTAAGGGTACCGGAGGCCCAATTATCCCCCTCCAAAATTCTCGAATCCCCCACAATCCGCAAATTATCAATCCCCAACAGTCTGGTAACGCACTAGTAACACCTCTGATGTTCCAGGTGTCCATGGGCTACGCCGATTGCTTACCACCAGGTGATCCGTCGGTTCGTTTACCGGCTTATCCCATAAAAAATTATATTATAAGAAAATATTTCTTTTTTATTTATTGCTAGTATATTATATCTATTGTAAGTTGTATTGTAGGTATTTTTATTTTCTCTTTTTTTTATTGTACACTTAACTACCCCTTATCTGGTTTCTTACAAATATTTCCATCCAAAGGTTGTCTGGAAGAAATCACCATTGTGTGATAGGACCGCCCATTGTACGCATATTTACTCGAATTGCTTGTTTTAAACTACTTAAATGTGTACAATAAAGCATATATAAATAAATATTAAATAAATAAATAAAATGAAGGAATGTTTCGGTATGTTACCTAGAGTGTGCCAGAGCCTGTTGGTTCTGTGTACAAGGTCCCTGGATGACCTCAGTGAGAGTGTTGAACACTTGGGACGCGACACCTATCGCCTTGAAGAAGTTCGCCTTGCCAGCTGGATCGATTAACTCCTGTGAAAATAGATATTTATTATTGTATACATTATTTAGGTAGTAGCATCCTCAAACTGCCTCGTTGGCCGAGTGGTCGCCAGTGCGACTGCTGGGCAAGGGGTCTCGGGTTCGATTCCCGGGTCGGGCAAAGTATTACTGTGTTTTTAAAAATCTCAGTAGTAGCACGGAGTCTGGTAATGTGCCCGGTATACGGCAAAAGGCTCACCCCCTATTACATGGGACTCATAACATAAATAGTGAAAAGTGGGTGTTACATTATACAGTGGCATTAAGTGCCATAATGTGCGCCTCTGCCCACCTCTTCGGGATAACAAGGCGTGATATTATGTAGCATCCTCAAAGTAGGTGATTTAATCACAATCCCATGTCTTCTACCAAGTGTGAGGATTATCCTCAATCTTCACCCTGTTCCCAATCCTCAAAAGGCCGACAACGCACTGAAAACTAACTTCTGTGATGTCCTGGGTGTCCATGGGCGGCGCTGATTGCTTACCATCAGAGACCTGGTCATTTACCTTCCTATCCATGATTACTATCTTGAACAATACTATACCTTGCTGGAGTAATGCCAGTAGAAGTCCATGATGGACTCCTGTAGCCGCAGCAGATAGTCGACGGTACAGATGACGACGTTCACTGTCGTCGTGTTACCAGCCTGCGTTCTGAGATAGTTCTGCCAGTCTGTAAGCAAATATATTTGTTTGAAGATGTTATATTTCATGTCATTTTCGTCTATTTAAATATCAGGTTCATACATACATATAATAAAATCGTAGGAAAGTGAAAACTGTATATCGAATATTTTTTTAAAAGAATGCTTGGGGCGTGATCTGCATTCGACACCAAAACCAAAAATATGATTTTTAAAATTTTTGTCTGTTTGTCTGTATGTATGTCCGGGATGAACTCAAAAAGTGCTGCATGGATTTATTTTCAATTTGTCATGAATGTTACTAACAGGTCGGGTCAACATATAGGTGTCTTTGCATTGTTCTCACATATGCGTACAGTATTGAAATATGTATCAGAGACATTGTAGAACATACTTTTTTTAAAAGAGTAACGAATGGAGTTTCTTGCTCGTTCTTCTCCATTCGAATCTACGTTTTGGAATGAGCACCTAGCTTCACCTAGCTTCACTGACGGACTGACTGACAGACTATTATTTATTTTGTATTTGTTGACGTTTCAAAAGTACCAAACTATGGTTTGATTGAAGTAAATGCTTTGACTTTGACTTTGACTTTGCTATATATTATCATGCTATCTACTACAGGGAAGGAGCTGTGAATCACTATTCGCGGGCTCAACTCGTTTTATATAAAGCTGAAGAATTCGTTTGTTTAAATGCACTAATCTAAGGAACCACTGGTCAGATTTAAAAAAATCTTCGTAGTCTATTTATTGAGGAAAGCCATAGGCATTAGAACATCACGGTACGACTAATAAGCGCCGAGCAGAGCGGGTGAAACCACGTGGAAGTAGCTAGTCACTACATAGTATAAAACAAAATCTATCCGCCGTCTGTCTGTCCCTATGAATGCTTAGATCTTTAAAACTACGCAATGGATTTTGATGCGGTTTTTTTTGATAGATAGAGTGATTCTTAAGAAAGGTTTATTTGTATAATACACGTATATTGCATCCGTGCGAAGCCGGGGCGGGTCGCTAGTATCATATAAAATCGATCCTATTCCTAGTACAGTATCGTATAATTTATTTAAATAGTACTCACCCAAGTTGTGTCCTTCACAAGTAAGTTGTATGAACCGGAACAGTGCGCACGTGAACTCCGCGTCGTGCATGTTCTTCTCACCTGCCGCGCCTTCCAGGCCCACTCCCAGACCTGGACCATACATACCACATACTTGAGGTGTGAGACAATAAGGCTTAAGGTGAAATGTGAGACTTGAGAAACGTGAATTGTGATACGAGGTGGAGAAATCATATATAAAAGAAAGAAAGAAGAATAAAAAAACATTTATTTAGCACCAGGCACGATGCAGCATAAATCCTTCCTTATATATTATATATATATATATACTATTATAAATGGAAAAGTGAGTTTGTTTGTTTGTTTGTTCCGCTTTCACGCCGTAACTTCTAAACCGATTGCTTTGAATTTTTGCAGGCGTAAAGTTAGAAGTCCGGAATAAATAATAGGGTACGTTTTATTCCGGAAAATTTTGATATTCCCGAGGGAAAACAAAAGAATTGGTATAGATGGCGCTGTATGTATTGGTATATGTCACATAGGCTACTTTTATCCTTTTGTGACGCGAGCGAAGCCACGGGTAAAAGCTAGTAAAATATAAAAAGACAATCAAGGTACGATAGTGGAAGTAATAAAAACATTGAGTTGAAAATTAAAACAGAAGAATTAGAAGAGAGACGCTGACAACATGCCTATGCTAAAAGGGTCACCCACTCAGTGTAAGCCAGGTATACAAGTCACCCAGCACTGATTTTCAGTGGGCACCCCTGCAGTGACGCACGGATGGTAGCAACGTTGAATGGTTAAAATAAGGTGCATCACCAACATTTATTATTATTTATTTATTTTTTATCTTTAAATCACACAGGTAAGTTATATTATAATTTATTTACTAGCTAATAGAGGACCTAAAGTGATGACCTCGACGTGATCGTGTACCTCATAGCATGATTACAAGGCTCTACCGATGAGAAGTTTTTAATTCCTTCTAAATTTAAGAAAATATTCCTTCGTCTTGTGCTTAATAGTTCGCGACTAAGATCACTCAGATCAGTTCGCCGCTCCTAAACGAACTAGTTCGCTCTTTTAGTTCGTCAGCTCCCGACTCGCAGTTGGAGTTGGAATTGGAATGAATCGTATAGGAACTAGGAAGGCACTGGCAGTCAAATCGCTCCCTAGTTCGTCAGCTCCCGACTCCCAGTTGGATTTGGAATTGGAATGAATCGGATAGGAACTAGGACGGCACTTGCAGCCAAATCGCTCCCTAGTTCGTCAGCTCCCGACTCCCAGTTGGATTTGGAATTGGAATGAATCGGATAGGAACTAGGAAGGCACTGGCAGCCAAATCGCTCCCTAGTTCGTCAGCTCCCGACTCAGCTCATGACTTTTCAAGTGAGATCATATGTTATCGCATTTTTTAGTTCGGTCTTCACCATAGACTTCACTATAAACGACTTCACAATCCTTGTACTTGTACTTTGAAATACGAACTAAGGAACTAAGGAGTTGGGATTGACGTGAACTAGTTCGCATATTTTGAATGTGGGAGCGCTCTTTTGAACTAGTTCGTTCGCGAACTACACAAGCCTACTTCATAGGAGATCTCACAAACCTTCAGCCTTAGTATTCCTCTCGAAGGCGTCCAGATCGAGCACGGAACAGGAGTTCATGAGACCAGCTATCGAAGTGAAGAAACCGACGTCTTTTTTGTCTTTCAGATGGTTCAGCATACCCTGGAATACAGAAGAGAATAATATCATTATTAATTTATCATGTTTGTTTTCCTTCAAAAAGTATGAAGGTATGTAAAAGATGAAGAACGGATCTTATTTTGGTGTTAAACTAATCTTTATATGTTTTTTTTCTTAAATAAACTAAGTTCAAAACAAGTCGAGTGTGAACTGAAAATAGTTTCCTATACAATCGATCTTTGCCACAATTTAACTTATAAAAAGCATATATACGGTCGAATTGAGAACCTCCTCCTTTTTTTGAGGTCGGTTAAAAATACTAAGAGCCTGTCTCACAATATCTGGATAGCCGTTATCTACCAGATAAATAACATAACATAATATCACGCTTTTTATCCCCGAAGGGGTAGGCAGAGGTGCACACAGAAGTAACACCCACTTTTCACTATTTATGTTATGAGTCCCATGTAATAGGGGGTGAGCCTATTGCCATATACCGGGCACATTTCCAGACTCCGTGCTACTATTGAGATTTTTTTTTAAACCCGGCAATGCTTTGCCCGACCTGGGAATCGAACCCAAGACCCCTTGCCCGGCAGTCGCCCTTGGGACCACTCGGCCATCGAGGCAGTCCAAATACCAGATATCAGATAAATTTGAAATTTTAACATGAATAACAAAATACATTATTTAAAATTCGATAATTTAAAACATAAACACTTTAACCGATGTCACGGTGATGACTCACGCTGCTCATGAGGAAGAGTCCTTCCGTGACTCTGAACTTTTCTCAGTATATAAACAGGTATTGTTGACCCACGGTTCTATCCAACAACCCTTTCCTTAACAAATATTCTATCAAGTATCAATTACTAACTACAATAGGGTAGATGCCAAATTTTAATGTCCGTCTGGTAGATTATTTTAAATCATTAGACACGTATTTTTTATTTTCTTACAAAAACGAATACTTTCGACGATATATTGATTTGAAATGTCGCGTGACGTCACTTCTATGTACACTTTATACGTAGAAATGACATTTTAGCTCCCGCTCCTAAACTTTGATTCGATTTATCTAAGTATTGTTTTATTATACGACAAAATAAAAAAATACGTGTCTAATATATTTTCATTACCTAACTTACGGACTAATTATATTTTTAATTTTCATACCCTGTCATCATCCCTATTACTTACCATCTGTATATCAATATTGCCTCCCCTAAGTATAGAGATTCCCAGCTGTAGAGTCTTCATCACCATCTCGCTAGGTAGCCCCTTGGACGCAGATATATGGAGGAGCACCATCTCTGCCACACCCCTGTTCGCTAGACGAGCTTGATGGAAGAGGAGCTTCTGTTTTTCCATTTCTTGTTCCTGTATGGGGAAAATGGTGTTTTAATAAATATTTTTAAGAATAATTTGGATAATTTTTCCCAGAATTTGTAATTCTGATATTTAGGCTGTCTATACCTACTTCTATACTAATATTATGAAGAGGAAAGATTTGTACCTATTTTTGTATGTTTGTATGTTTGTAATGAATAGGCTAAAAAGTACTGGGCCGATTTAAAAAATTCTTTCACCAATAGATTGCTACATTCTTCCAATTTGATATAGGCTACATTTCGTTTTGAAAATAATTAGGGATCCTTGGTAAAATTTGAACGATGTAACCGAAAGTGTAGAAAAATGTGTCTTAAAATGTCTGTCGTCAAATGCGCTGCCGAAACTATTAGCGATAGAACAAAATAATGTACAACAATATTGAAGAACATCATAATGTCTACAATAAACTCCGCGGTAGCATATGTCCAACTATTGTAGTTATGTCACTACAGCAGGCGCAATAATCATCATCACTTCAGTTTTTTTTTCGATAAAATGTCATAAAATTACAAGATATTATTTTGCAATTTCAGAATATAATTATTCATATTTAAACTGTCAAACACCAAGCGGTCACCGGTGACCGCAACCTATTGTTCTATAATTGTGTCTACAAAACCGGTACTCGACGAGTTAATTGTCCACTATAACATAACATCACGCCTTTTATCCCCGAAGGGGTAGGCAGAGGTGCACATTATGCCACTGTACAATGTAACACCCACTTTTCACTATTTATGTTATGACATTTAAACTGTCAAACACCAAGCGGTCACCGGTGACCGCAACCTATTGTTCTATAATTGTGTCTACAAAACCGGTACTCGACGAGTTAATTGTCGTAGTGGACGACGAAAATCAACTAAATGAACGTCACTAGTTTAATCTATGTTATCGACAGCACTAGCTGTCATGTTGACTACGTCGTCTGTCAAATGTGAGTCCCGCGCAAAGAGTAGTGACACGCTATTCTGGTGGGAAGTTTGACGAGCATCACGCTGTGTTCTTATAAGTACCAGTTTAGAATAAACTTTTCAGTATTGAAATATTGAGTTCTACTTAAAACAATATACCTTCATATACATACCATAAACATATCCATTGTTTTCTGCATGTAACAGACAATTAATTTTTAAAAGCGAAGAGTTATATTACGATTTATTTATGCATATTTACCAAATTAAAATCCAAGGTGTATTGAAATCTGAACCCTATCTATGACTTCATAGAATTTACTGTCGACAGTTTTTACAATCGATCATTCTTCACAAATGACCCTTCTTCACTGCATAATAGATTTCTAATTCCTACTTACATGTATACTGGCTCTGCCCTCATCTTCTGCCTCGGCTTCACCCCCGCCCTCTTCTTCTTCCCCGCCCCCTTCTTCCTCTTCTTCTCCACAGGACTTCGCTATGATGTGTGCGTAAGACATGTAGAGGGGATCCTCCTAGAAATTTATTGAATGGTATTTTAATGATATTTAGTTATAGCTTGCGATCAGTATAGGTTAGAACATTAACTATAACTTCTCATAATATGTTTGTAAATAAATTCTATAATTTAATTCACGTGTTTATGTTATAGTAGAGGTAGAAAATTAATACTCTACTGTGATTTTGTCAAACGATTTTTTTGCGATGGCCACATTTGAAGTACCTACTACTTTTTATTTAAAAAACGGTCATAGACGTACCTGCAACGCTCCAGATCTCTCAGTCATGGCTCCCCTGCAGAAGGTGGTGACTAGCTGTGTCAGAGGATCAGGCTTCTCTCCCTCCTCCTCACCGTCGCTCTTCTTCAGCTCCGCGTCTTCGAACGATTGCTGGAATATACCAACCAGAAGAGTCAATTACGGGTGGTGACCAAAAAAATTTATAAAAGTTTCTCACAGTACTGACTTATCAGAGGTGCTTGATAACAGAGTAATTCTGATATTTAGGTTATTTTCTTGCAATAACACAAGTGCGCAGTTTCTATAATAGTACATAGTTAAATCTTAAAGTGTAAAACAAGTATACTACATAAAGAACTTAAATTATGAACTTACAACTACATATTATATTAAAGCATTGCAGTATGTTCACGTTATTTACGAGATTATTGTTGCAAGTTGCTTTTTTTTTAATTTTCTGTTATACTAACTTTACTTATCTGTATTACTTAAGGCTTTGTTTTTAAATTTCATAATATAATGTGTACCTATATATATCTTTTTCGTTACAAACGAGACAATCAGAAGTAGAAATAATTATTCAAATCAGATAAATGAACTATGTGAACAGTAAAAAACAAGTAGATTGACAATTAAATTATTCTACTTTATTAACTAAAATCGCGGGTTGTGCACGTGAATATACTGAGAAAAGCTCTACTAGTTTCGAACCACAGAGGGGTTCTCAAGCGTGCGCGGTCGCGACGACGTTGCGCAGCTCACTGAGACAGCTCACAGCTCGCACGCTGCTCATGAGGAATATGTCTCACGATAGTTATTATAAAAACACAAGCTCCCGGCTTCGCTCGCGTCACAAAAGGATAAAAAGTAGCCTATGTGACATATACCAATACCCACAGCGCCATCTATACCAATACTTTTGTTTTCCCTCGGGAATATCAAATTTTTCCGGGATAAAAAGTCCTACCAACCCTATTATTTAATCCAGACTTCTAACTTTACGTCTGCAAAAATTAAAAGCAATCGGTTTAGTAGTTACGGCGTGAAAGCGGAACAAACAAGCAAACTCACTTTCAGATTTATAATATTAACTAGTAAGGATAAGGATATTCTACTTTATATTTGTTAACTCACCGTAAGATCTTCAATCATGACTTCTTGGCCAACGTTCTCTTCTTCCAGCCACAGCTCGTAATATGTTCGAGCGAATATATTACACGCTCGATGTCTGTTAAACATTAATACATAATTAAATTACATTAAATTGAAGAGAAAATTAAGTTAATCGGTTATTAGCTAGTTTAATAAAGTATAAACGACGATTAGGTTATAAACACATCATGATCACACACATGCGATTTAAATTACATTGTACGGTTTAGGTAACTGTTCGACATTTGTAGGTCGTTTTATTTATGAGTCCCTGGATTGGCTTGAAACTAGTCGAGTAAGCTCGTTGAACGTGAGTAAGATAAAGTTGATTTGACTTATATTTTTTATTTTTTTTTAGTTTAAACCTACCGACTCATCTTATAAAGATGTGTGGAACGGAGACAGGCTATCGCCGCTCTCTTTCTAGCGGCACATAGCACTCTCTTCCATACATCGGAGCGTTGTCGCGGCTTCGTCGCCTAGTTCATTCCAAAGGCAGCATGCACAATCATACTTACGTACAACTTTTTATATAATTAAAAGCAAAACTATTTGATTATTATTTAATACATATTAAATAATGTAATTTATTAATAATTTCGTTATTGGTAACATAGGTAATGTATCAAACAATACTGACCGTAGACGGCAGAAACCTAAATGATTCCTAAAATATTCCTTTGGAAGTTTCAAAAATATACATTTTGAATTATTATGTCTGCCTCGTTGGCCGAGTGGTCGCAAGTGCGACTGCTTGGCAAGGGGTCTCGGGTTCGATTCCCGAGTTGGGCAAAGTATTACTGTGTTTAAAAAAAATGACAGTAATAGCACGGAGTCTGGAATTGTGCCCGGTATATGGCAATAGGCTCACCCCCTATTACATGGGACTCATAAAATAAATAGTGAAAAGTGGGTGTTACATTGTACAATTGCATTAAGTGCCGTAATGTGCACCTCTGTCTATCCCTCCGGGGATAATAGGTGTGATGTTGTGTTATGTGTGTTAGGAATGACAAGAATTAGGGTACTTAATAAGTACCTATTTTATTTTATTTTTATTTTCTTAGTACACAACCCGTCTAAAGATTTCTCTTCATTATATCCACCCAAAGGTTGTCTGGTAGAAATCACTATAAGTGATAAGACCGCCTTTGTGCCCATTACTATTTTTATTTATATTTGTCATTTCCTTTTCTGTATGTACTGTATTATTAATGGTGTACAATAAAGTTATATGCTATTCTATTCTATTCTACATACCTATTTCATTAAACATTAGAAAAACAACACCTAAGTTTAACTTTCAAAACACAACACACTCATGCCACAAGATATTTAATTATATAAGAAAATCATGAATAACTGCTGATTGTAATGGATTAAGTATTAATTTATTAGACAGCTAATGGACTCTACCTTTATAGAAATACTAGTATATTGTTACGATTAAAAACTAAGGTTAGACCACAACTGGACACACGACAACATCACGCTATGCACACGATAGAGACCTCGGCAGAGAATGTAGCGACGTTTGTCTGAAGCAAGCGATGACAGCTCGCTTACGTTGGATAGACACCACTGAACGGTAGACATTCTTACTCATTTGTTGGGGATGGTCAATCTAGTGTCAGGTAAAATTTATATTTAAGTATAGTTTTAGAACTAAAGATATATATTATTAAATTAACATTACCTATGAAGGCGAAAAGAACCAAAACCATAAAGATTTTCAAAGTAGTTAAAATTTTTTCGTCTGAAATATTTAAAACTTTATTGTCAAAACATTTCAAAGTCACTCAATTTTATGTCGCGTTAAACTATAGTTTTGTCACGAAAAAATCTTTGTAAAATGACAAAGACGGCATGACATTGAAGTATTTAACTTAAAATTGAGTAGGTAGACAACAGTATTCAAACGTAAGTCTATATAGACCTCATATCCATTATTCTTGAATTGAATTGAACAATTTAATAGCAATTCAGATTCTATCATTGTGGCTGTTTAATCACTTTAGTTATAAACAATAATATTGTTTAAAAATTAAGCCAGTTTAAAACAGTAACGTATATTTTAAATTAACCTTTTCTAATTTTTAGGTCCACACTAAAAAGTTATCAATCAATGTTAAAATAACCATTCAATCAACGATGTATCAATTTATCAATCTATTGTTAGATTTATTCTTTAAATTTCTTTCACACATAAATCTTTTCAAAATCATCCTAACCAACCAATAATAGTTAATAACGCATTATTTAACTTACCATATGTAATCCAAACAGCACTTTGCTCATAGCAACAATCCTTTCCACGGTGTCATCAATTATTTTAGCTTTATTCTCAGCAGTCTCAACAGTTATATTCGTTTTACTCTTAGAACCCAGTTTGCTATACAAATAATGTTGCCAAGACATTTCATCAGCTGGGTCAATTTTATCAGGCAATGTCAATTGTGTTTTCGCAAATTCAGCTACATCTTGTTCAGACATTTTCTGTAATTTGGTTAAGTCATATTTGTTTAGTAAAACTGTTGCAAGTATTGAGGGCTTAGAATTAAATAAGTGGGGTGGACTTTGGTTCGTGGAAAGGGGTGCAGTAACTCGTGGGTTCGAAGCTGTGCCAGGTTCAAGCTTAGCTGTTTATACAATATAATACTAGTATTTGATTTTGTTTTCATCAGGATGCTTCTTATTATACAAGTCATAGGGCTGTGTCTTGACCTAGCCAATATGTTTTATTTCTTCTAACTTAGGGTAGTCTTGGCCTCTACAATTTTCGATTTGATTCTCAGATAGTGCGTCATAGCCCAATACTTAGTCATCAATAGTTGACTGATATAAGACATTATAGTTCTGATTGCTAAAGATTAAGCGATTTGCTTGATTACCAACAATAATGTAGTTTACAAGAATAGTGCAATAAAAGTCTACATAAGCCAGGGTAGTGCACGGTAAATGCATGGCTGTTCAAAGAAAAATAATAATAAATAAAGTTTAATACTGATCAAAAATACTTACACCACTAAAAATTTAATACCCAAGGTGACATTCGTTTTAATATTTGTTGTCCCTTTAAAATGACAAAATCAGAAATATTTTTACTATATATTAAGTATGTAATATATAGCATCGCCACACAGACTATTTTGATTTACAGACTTGGGCTAGTTGCCACATAATAGGCTGAATGCCACTTACAACTTCACACAACGAAGATATTATTCCTAACTTCTTTTAATATTTAAATATTCCTCTTCATATTAAATAAATGGGTATTTAAATATAACCCAAAAATCTGTTTCAAAACCAAAATTCACAAACAGGTACAAAAATATAATTGATCAGTTTCTAAATTAAAAATTAACTTAAAGAAGATGGTATTAATGAGGGCAGTGATTACCTTGAGTGTTCCTACCTTCAGGAACCTGTCTTTGCAATGCTGTACCAGTTCCTGCTCTCTACCTGCGAAGAGGTTCAGGCCTACTGGCAGAAGTCTTTTGAGACAGGCCACCATTAGAGAGGCTTGGACTTCTTTGTCTTTATCTCGCTTCTTATCGCGGTGCTTCTTCTTTTTCTGTATATTGTAATAGAATTATAGTTAGTATTAAAGGGAAATAGAGAAGAATGCCAACAACAACGGTTGTTTTGTTTAGGACAACTGATTGAGAAGACTTTTAAGAAAAATTTAAGATATCGTCGCAAGCAAAATGCTTACAAGTTTTATAATATAGTTTTATTATATATTCATCTATTTTTCGCCGGGGAGTTCTTTTGTATGTACACAACGTGATGCGAAAATTATTAAACGATGGCTGTTGTTGGTATTCAGTTTTTGATATTATGATGTAGTGGAATATCATTCTGAATAACGACTTTTAGCTATGGAATTTATATCTGATCCACTTTAAATTAATGAATTATAAACTTTAAATAAAAAAGCAAATTAATGAATGTTTTAAAAAAACCCAAATGAAATCGTATTCTGCAATGCCTTGCATTTCAAAAGGTACTTTAATAACTTGTATGTAAGTAGTAGTTTTGTTTGTACATTCAGTAGAACTAACTACTTTCACTATCTGTTCTAACTAGAATTTTCACTCACACACTGCAAAAGGAATCTTCGTAGATACAACTTGTTATCTTATAATATTTATTTGGTAGGTATATGCTTTGATTGATCGGTATTTATGTTTAAAAGTCAAATCAAATAAAAAACAAAAAATGTGTGGAAAGTAAAGTAAAATCTAAGATGTAGGTAAAAGAGTAAATCAACTGAAGTAAAACACGAGAATAAACCAAGAAATAAACAATACAGTAGCAAAATAAAAATGGATAATGAAGTAAGAATAAATATTACAGATTCTTACACAAATTCAGACAAGGAAAGACATAAAAAGAAAAATAACAGTCTGTGTGTAAAAATGTACAGTACACAATCTAACAAACGATTGATCAATCGTTGATGTATCAATCATAAAGTTGATAGTGGGGATGATAACATCTAGTCAAATTCATTACCTTTTTCAGAATTTCAGAAATGTCGAAAACGACACATTTTTATGAATTTTGTATTTTATTCATAGTTGTGACGTCATAACTTTTGTACACCAAATATATTGTAAACTAAATTGAGATTTAATGAAATTAATAAGAATATCTTTATTTTTTGTTAGTCTTCATTAAATAGTGGAAATAATATATTTTTGACTGAGTCATCATCCCTGTTCTCGAGGACAGATAAAGTAAAGAATAGATCAGTATAATATTGTACACGTGATCCAAAACCTGCATTTCATCTTGATCCTCATATTGTCGAATCAATGTCTCTTGAATACTTACTGCTTTCATCTAGAGATAATGAAGTCACTGTGTATTAGTAGTTTCAGTCAATCAATCAATTGGTTTAATATTCATTGGTGAATTTAGGCTTGAATATGTTCATAGTTATTTAAAAGAGAATGTTCATAATATGAAAATGTAAATATTTATAATTGATTGTTCAAGCCTGAAGACACACAGTTGTTGTATTTTTTATATGTTTTGTGTTTAGTGTTTATATTTAAATTGTTTTTCAATTAGAAGTAGCTTTAACTGTTTTATTATAACCTTTTTTAAATCATTTATATCATGGTATTATTGAAAGCAAAGCTGCAAATTAATTGTTGATTTGTATTTAAATTTTATGTAAATGTGTCAAAACAATTATTAGTTTATTTAATTTTCATTTCTTAAGCGTTATATAAATAATTAAAATACCTTGCCACCGGCTTGTGGAGTACCGTCTACAACTGCTGTTACCCTTCTAGTTGCTGTTGGCATGATCAGTACCTGTAGAAAACAATAGGTTATTTGATAAAGCAAATATATAAAAGTATCTTCTTATAAAATGGATCTCTAAGTTAGCATAAAATAAATTAGCAACGGAGACGTACAAAAAAATAAACTACATGAAAATAAGAAATAATTTTAAAACGGACAACATAAATTAAATATTGTCGAACTAGGAGTTCTGTTCTTGCCTTAACATTCTCACTTAATATACCTGAAAGTGTATTTGTTGACGAAAGCAGACAGAACTTTTTTTGAAAAGACTTTGCCCCACTCATGGTTTGTGGGTGCGTTTACAAACATACAAGTTCACATACACATAATACACAGACCAAAAACAACAATTTGGGGATTACACCAGTGCAGGAATCGAACCCGCGACACATCGCGTGCCGTCAATTTCACATTTGTCTTAAATACTTTCAGACAAACGAAGTATTTCTTATTTTTTTTAAACGTTTTAATTAAGACTTACCATGTTATCAATCTCATTAGCAGATATGAAGTTCTGCTCTTCTTTCAAGAAGTACTGACTCTTGGACCAGATGTTGAAAATTTCAGCTACGTGGTTGTAAAGCTCTTCAGCCTCTATATAAAACAAAACAGAAATAGTTTGACTAATCTTCCAATTCATCGATACATCTAACAACTGAGTGATACCAAAATCTATCATATTCAATCATTCAATCATTTCACATCCGTAGTCCCCAAAATCCCAATCTCCAAATGATCACCAATCACCAATGTCCAAATCCGAAAAAGGCCGGCCACCCACTTGTAAATCTTCTATTATTGCGAGTGTCCATGGGCGGTGGTACAATAAAAAAATTAATCTACCGATCGATTGACAAATCTACCAATAGATTGATCAATCAATAAATAAATTTCACGTACCTGGCACGTTGTTCCTGAGCCAGTGGTTTCTTTGTAAGTCTACATATTTGATGAGCAGTGGGTAGAAGGAATAAATGTCACGAACCAACAGCTGCCAGTCTTCTTGGATTTGAGATTCTACTTGAGATGTATCGTCAGTTGATGACTGAAAAGAGATTGTTAAATTAAGTTTTTTGTATAGTAGTAAGTATTAGAAAAAGAAAATTCAAATCAAACATAAATTTTTGAATGACTTAAATAGATTCGATGTTATTCTAAGGATTGAAATAATTATGAAGGGCTTCAATCCAAGCTGCATCAGCAAGTTGTACTTCTAATATTTATTTTATTACTGCGATACTCAGAAACATCTAATAATTACTTAAACTATTCCTTAGTAACGATTTTGTTCCGAAAAAAATGCTAAGGACTGGGTTAAGTAGCCTTTAAATGACTGAGTACGGCGGTAAGTGTCTTTAAGATGTTACGTATTAGACGGTTATCAATCCCCTAAGTTTCTTCGTCAGAATCCAAGCGAAATTTGTTAATCACGGTTCGTCAATTCCGAATATAAAAAACTAAAAACTTTATACAAGACACGATTTCATAGCAAATTGTTACCTTAATAAATCCTCTCAAGCTCTCCTCCTTATGGAACATATTATCGGTCCTCTTTCGGACCCTCTCAGCGAGAGGAAGGAAGGAGTCCCTGAGGAGTTCCTCTGAACTGTTGATGATGATCTGTTGGGTGTAGGTAGCTATGCGCGTCATCCATGGAGCGTTCTCATTGCCTATGTTCTTCTTGATAAGCTTCAGAACGTTCTTTAGAAGTTGGTTCATGTGTTCTGCTGTCACCATTGTTACATGGTTGCTAGAAGAGTGAGAGGTCGTTAGATCTTCGATGTTACAGAGTTTTATTGGTATTGACATATATAATTGAATAGGTGATGATTATCATTATGTTGAGCCTTATATGATGAAAAATATTTCTACAAGTAAAAATAAACAAAACCTTTTCCTTCTGCCACAGTTTCACATTTCGGGGATTCTCAGCTAGTAAATATATGTAAGTATAATGTACCAGATTGGCACTGATCACCTACGCCCCATAATTTACTAGTTATCAAAAGTGTTTAGACCCTTTATAGTGCACTTACACTTTTGGGAGTCTATACAATTTTTGCTATCATAGCTATTAACCATCCTAATAAATAGGTAAACCAGTTTTTTCACTTACCCTCCAGTAGGAGTAACGTTATCAGGTCCCTGTGCCCACCAGAACGGCAAGTAAGAGCAGAGTAAAGGCAACACCACATCAATAATATGAGGAGCTTCGTTGTAAGTCTTATCAGACTCCACGAACTGGTCCACTTCACCCAAGATCGTTTCTAGTGTCGGCATGCATTGTTCCATTTTCTGCATTATATCTAGGAGGGATAGAGTTTAGATTCAGTTGTATGATTGATTTAAATGTTAAAAGGCGAAAAGACCTGTTGTGATGTACGTAGTTTATTTAAATGTCTGATGATAATTGTTTGGCATAAACATTTAAGCGATAAGCTTTCAAAGAAAACTATACGGATGCATAATGTATAATTATGCACATTTTCGTTATTACAGCATTGGTCTTCTTACATAAAGAAGAGAGTCTAAACTCACAGTTCCAAACTTTATGAGTTTATTTCTTCACGTTGCAGGCTGATTAAGGCTTTCGGGATAAAAAAAATAAGCGAGGGAGAGCCATGCTTTAGCACGAATGGGCCGGCTCGACTGGAGTGATACCACCGCCTGACAAAAGTCCGACGTGAAACAACGCTTGCGTTGTGTTTCGTCACGTAAGTGAGGTTACCGGAGGCCCAATTAGCACTCCCCCTTTCTCAATCCTTGAGTCCCCAACAATCCTTAAATTCCTAATCTCAAAAGGCCAGTAACGCACTTGTAACGCCTTTGGTGTTCCAGGTGTCCATGGGCGACGCCGATTGCTTACCATCAGGTGATCCATCTGCTCGTTTACCGGCTTATCCCATAAAAAACTCATTTTCTGGATATGGAACTTAAGAGATAAGACATATTCACTTGGCAGGTCTACTAACCGCTAGGTTATAAACCGAGAGTGACCCCAGCGCATGTGTGACGTCACCCGACACCTTATCGACACGACGATTGTCAGGCAGTCTACTACTACTTCTTATCCTACAATATCTTATTATTTTCTCACATACCTTGAGCCTCCAAAGAGTGGTCAGCGATCCTGTTCAGCAAGGAGAACTGATTGTGTTTGTTCAAGTGGGGCTCCAAGAACGCCACTGGGAATGTCGAGCTGAACGCACCGAGGCACGAACCCTGAACATACACCATGTTAATCATCCTGCGTGCTTCAAGTTTTGTAGATTCGAAGAAATAATAACAGAGCATGTAGTAGTGTAATACCTAGATAAATTTCTTTTTTATCTCTTGACGCTGTGTAGTGTTAGTTTCGGAGATTGAACCAGATACTGGCCTCTTGACTTTAACGAAGTCTTATAGTACTGAAGAAGGCTGTTTGCTTTCAAAGCATTAAAACTATTTTGAGAAAATTGGCAATTCAGTAGAAAAACTTACCAAAGCAGGTTTATGTCTCTCGATTTCAGTCTTGAGGTATTTTCTGTCGTGTGTGAGGGACGCGTCAGTGCCTAAAGCGTACAGTGAACCCAGCATTTTGTATGAAGCCACTTGGATCTCATCCACTGGGGAAAATAATAATTTAAATAAATTAATGGAACTCATTTACAATTTTGGTTGTCCTAACTAAATACTCTGTTTTAAATAAGTATTCTAACGTTTCAAATATTTTTTTCAAAGTCAAAAGTGAATGTCAAACCATTTATTTCAATTGGGTAGTTTCCAGGGAATCAAAATTAAAAATCTAATTAGTCCGTCAGTTAGATAATGAAACAATATTAGACACGTATTTTTTATTTTCTGGTATTAAGTTGCAATACTTAAATAAAATGGCGCTAAGTTTAGGAGTGGGAGGTCGTTACGTCATAACGTGCTACAAAATGTGGCACGCTGTGACGTCACACGATATTTCAAATTAATATATCGTCGAAAGTATTTAATTTAGTGAGAAAAGAAAAAATACGTGTCTAATGTTTTAAAATTATATACCAGACGAATATTTAAAAAAAAATGAAGGAAACTACTCTATTAATCCTTAATTATGTACTTTTGAAACGTCAAACATTGAATTGTCCGTCCGTCTGTCTAACAGTGAAGCTAGGCGCTCGTTCCAAAGTGTAGTTTCGAATGGAGAAGAACGAGGAAGAAACTCCATCGTTACTCTTATCAAAAAAAATAATTGTTGTTTAAATAAGTTATTGTCAAAAAAGGTTGTTATAATAATAAAAAATAGGAAATTAACCCGGGGCAAAATAAGGAATAGGGTTACGAGACTAACTCAAAAAGTATACATAAATATAAAAAATGTTATGTATTGTATAATGTACATACATAAAACTACAGTAAATGTCTTTCTGTGAATATAAATCAATAAAATGAATGTATAAAAATATATTGGCTACAATAAATGACAAGGCTACATCAGAAAAAAAATAAATCATATTTCGATGCATAAAAATCTAAGACCATTTGTAATATTGCGAAATGATCGATAAAACGTGACGACGACGTTTGAAAACAATTTCGTTTATCGTATAAATCTTGTAAAAATATTACTCTTAAATGTTGTTTCACAGTGCGCTCTTTGTTTGTTTTTTGACTATTCTGGTAATTATTTGCTTTATTGTCTAGTTCATCGATCAATCAAACTTTAATATTGACTGCACGGTTGGCGGTGCGGTGGTTGGGCAACTGGCTGCCGCGCAACGTGTCGCGGTTTCGATTCCCGCTCGGAACAACATTTTGTGTGATCCACAGATTGTTGTTCCGGGTCTGGGTCTCATGTGTATGTGAACTTGTATGTTTGTAAACGCACCCACGATACAGGATACAATCCTAGTGTCGGGCCACGTACTATAAAAAATAAAATTTAAAACAAAAATATGATACTAAAGATACAGAGTGAGTGCGATAAAGAGCGCACCTGGCATCTTTCACTCATTTATTTTATCTCATTCTTCCCTTTATTTTCTTTTCTCAATTCAATATTTTTTGTGGATCACTGTAAATTTAATATTTGCAATGAAATGGTATTAAGTAGAAACCTGACTTAAATTTAGAATCCCTTAGGTTTATAGCCATTTACAGTACCTTAAAATACAGTTTTATCTTTAATGTAACGACAAAATAACCAATACTTTTAGGCTTTTGACAACAAAGAAGTAAAAGTAACAGAACCACAAAAACCAGAAACAATATTCGCTGATGTCATTAAAAATATTTCACGAGTCAACAACGTATTACAAGACCTGATCAATAACTATGAACAATTACAAAAAATATACAAATCACAAGAGAATTTTGATGGACCAGACTATTCCAGTGAAACGGACAACGATCATTCATCTCAAAATATTAAAAAGTCAAAAAGAGCATCCCTAACCACAGCCACACCTTACATGTTTTACCAGGCAGGTACAAGAATGATACTATCAGACACTGACGTCGATAATACAGACATAGCTAGAATTGATACACCAGTTACAAAAAAAACGACAGTGTTCGATCCTATGGCTTTATCAGATTCTTCCGACATCGAAGACACCATAGAAACAGATGTTAAAAGACTCAAAGAACTAGAAACATCTAGAACTCTTAAAAGTGCGGTTATAACCACAACTGAAAAAAATATACTTCAAACTAGACAACCAGTAAAACACCTTAAGTTAAAAGACAGTAAAAAAGATAAAACTAAAGAGGCAAAAGATTTAAAAATAATCTTCGCTAGTATTCCAAAGAAAGTAAAAAATAAAATAGACAACAAAACAAAAATAATGCCAGAATCGGTTCAGAAACTGTCGGTAGATGATACCAATTCGAAGAAATTAAAGGATGCGCTCAATAGTAATATGAGACCACAAAATGGGCATGACAGAAATATTTCTAAACCAAAATCAAATAAATTACATTCTTACTCTATTGGCAGTACAGGAAAACAGGTAAATTTACAAATAAAAATATCTGAAAATCCAGAAAATCCAAAAGATGTAGAAAATATAAAAACTGTAGAAAAGCAAAGCAATACAGAAAAAGAAGCAAACCAACAAGATTCAGAAAAACAAGAAACGCCAAAAAATGTAAAGAAATCAAGAACTGTAAAAAAGGTGACCACTATGGAAGATTCTAATGATTCAGATAATATAAGAAATTACGCAACTCCAAGAAATGGAAATACAGATAATATAAATACATCAGACAATCCAAGCAATAGAGAAAGTCAAAGAGAATCAGGTAGTACAGCTAACAAAAAAGCCATCAAAAGACCAGGAAACAAAAACCGTCCTTTGTATTCAAAAGAAGTTACGGCTTCAGAAGAAAGATATTCAATATCCGACGATGATAGCGCCATACATATTAATACCAATTCAAAAACTAAGACAGCCAACAATATTGCTGTTTCCCAAATTGACTCAGCTACCTTGAGAAGCCAAGTGGATAATATATCTGCTAACATTACCATGGATAACAAAGTACGTATGAACATGTTTTTATGAATATTATAAACACATAATGCTGCCCCTTTTTGCAAATTATGTTATGAGTCCCGTTTAAATAGTCTATCGCCATACTTGACACAATTCTAGATTCCGTTTTATCCCGGCAATCAAATACGAGATTGAGAACCACGTTCTTTTATTAACTCAACCAACGAAGCAGTCTAATCTTGACTTTGAATTTTGATTTACAGAAAATGCAAGATCAAAGTGACGATGACGATGATTTGACTAAAGATATGTTTAAAACCAGTGTGCTTCGCCAAGCCTATGGGGACGCCTGTCTTAAGCTTGTAGTTAGGAAATGTCATCGGGTAAGTGGTGGTTTGGACAAAATTGAAGAAACCTTGATCAAAATATGTCAAAGATTTGCTTCCAAAATTAGTCTACTGACAACAGGTCTTTTTTTGGAAAATGTGACATTTTGGTACTTATCTTGTTCTATTGCCACTAACAACTCTGTTCCTTGCAAGTTTTCGCTATCGTTACTGAGGATTTTTGAAATCGCACACACTTGTTAGTGCGTTATAATCTACCAAAAACGTCTACAACTGAACAAAGGCCAACTAAATAACCATTTGACACACTCCCATCGCTCGCTTGGCAGGATATTTGGGGGTCACATTTAGGTCAATCAAATTTTACAGGATACAATTTGAATACAATAAAATCTCAAAATTATTCAATACCAACTCTACACAACCACAATCGTAGCTGTTACAATAATAGCATTCAGAGTACGGAATATAAAGTCAAACTCAATATCATTTAGTTCATTCAATATCCACGCAATACGGACGCAATGGGCGCTAGTGTTGCAACCCAAGAGTACGACATTTCACAATACCGATCGATCGGAATTGAATTCAAGAGTAAGCTCCCCTGGTTGCTGCATACCGCATGCTGCAAATTGATTACTACAGCGGAATAAAAACTAAATATTTACCCAGTTGTTAATAGTATACCACGGCCCGTCTCTCAGTGGCTAGTCCCCATATTAGGACATATTTGTATCGAATTTATGACACGATTTGATTAATTTATTTTAAGGCATGCAAAAGTGCTTATGTTACATCTTGCCGCACACTAGAATGCAAGTCTGATCTAAAAGAAATGTTTGAAAAAAGCTCTAGAACTGGCTGTATTAAAGAATTTGTTGACAAGGAAGATGATCCCAAAAAACACGCATTTCGAGTTGGAAAGAGCCGTGAGATTATATTACACTTCGCTTTTGGGACCAGGGTTTATGTTTTGTGTAATCGAAGCAAATCGAAGCGTCACATTTTATTCTAGAAATCTAACTCTTAGAAAAGAGAAAATTGGACAGTACATTCGATTCGCCTTGAGTTCAATTTGTATTTATGCAACTTTTCTTCAATTTATACATTAATAACACTCCTTTTACTATGGCGAATATATCAATTTGCGCAAAATAAAACGAAGCCTTTGTTCAGTTATGGACGTAGCACAAGAATAATTGTTTTAAATGCATTTCTTTCTTTGTTAAAGGCATGCAAAAATACTCTGAAAGGCTCCTGTAGAACGTTCCAATGTAGGAGTGAAGTAAAGTCGTGTTTCAAAAAACGCTACAAAACTGCTTGCGAAAAAGTATTTGAAGGCACTCCAGACATTAGCTTGCGTAAAATAAACTGTGAGAATAACTTTTATCTTTTTTGCAATAACGTCCATAATTGAACTAAGGTCTTTTTGCAATATTATTTAATTTTGAGATGCTATCCTTTTTAGTTATGTTTATGATTTTGGGGAAACTAGAGAACATAGCAATTATGAAATACTTATGTCCAAATACTCAAACGCTACTCAATTTTAAGTCACGCTTAAGTACAGTTTACAAATGCCATGATATTTAACTACAATTTAATATTGGGTAGCCTTTCGGTATTCGAGCGTTAGCCCCCTTACGCGCTAGCGGCCAACCGCGCGGCTAACAGCCCTCCGCAGTTGGGCGATTTTCCAATTTGATATGCAATCGGGATACAAATGCTATGGCCACTGCGTCAGGTATATGATTATGAACTGCCCTAACGGTTAACTGTTAGTATGTACAGGGGCTTAGAATCTCTAAATCGAACAATTATGTGTATGTGTGTCGACTAATATAGTTTAAGTAGTTTTTCTTATTTGTGGTGTTTTTATACTGACTTTGAAATTGGAAATATTCTTTTAAAAGTGCGCCTCATAAATAGGAAAATTTGTTTTCAGCCGATGGTCCTCATGTGGATATAACAAGAGAAGGTTACCTATCAGTAGCCTGTCAACCACAGACTGGTATTGGACTGGTAAGACTCTTATTTATTTTATGTAATAATAAGTAACTTCAGCTAGCGGTTTAACCCGCGACCCCAGTTTAGGTATCGTAGTTTAAAAAGGACCATGTATCAGAAATCGTTGAGTGCTGTTTTATGTCAAATGTTTACTCCCAAGTTGGCTTCACTTATGTAGCCTGCCCCGAAGTGACTAACATTCCCTAAATATTTCCTTCGACAGCCAGCACTTAGACGAAACCTAGTCCCAAACAAGGGAACAATAATTGCAAATAATTCAATGGGAAATGATATCGAACTAAACATATTACGAGATCGATACGAGAAAGCCTGCCAGAGACTCTCCCGGGGCAAATGCACCACAGCTTGTAACTACGCTCATAATGCCACGTGTGTCAAGTTCGAGTGTGAAAAGAAGTTAAAGAAGAGTTTTAAAAGAAATTGTAAGGCTCAATGTAAGAGGGCTTACACTAGTACTTCAAAGAAGCAGAAAGGCAGTGATAGTGATGGTGATAGTGATGATTCAGGGTCTGACGATTCAAGTGAATCGGATGATGATTAGTCGGCAAATTGGAAGATTAAATATCTCACTGCCGTACTCAGTCATTTAGTGTGGGAGAGCCATGCTTCGGCACGAAAGGGCCGGCTTAACCGAAGTGATACCACGGCCTCACAGAAAACCGACGTAAAATAAAGCTTGCGTTGTGTTTCATCGTGTGAGTGAGGTTACCGGATGCCTAATTACCCCCCTTCCTCAATCTTCCTAATACCTGAATACCTAATAATCCTCAAATTCCTAATCCTCAAAAGGCCGGTAACGCACTTGTAACGCCTATGGTGTTCCAGGTGTCCATAGGCGACGCCGATTGCTTACCATCAGGTGATCTCTCTGTTCGTTTACCGGCTTATCCCATAAAAAAAAATGGTCTTAACCCAGTCTTAGCAAAGGAGAATGTTACTGTGATGTAAATTAAGAAAGTACCTACGCATTTGTATCTCAATGACTATTACTTACCTACTACATATCACTATGTTTAAAAAAATACAATATATGGGACACTGTGCTATGACGTCACAGTACAACGTTAATTTTGTGTGAAAAGCAAGTCATCAAAACTTTAAACGAATATAATTCGGCAGTTTTCATTGTACGACAAAACTAACTATACAGAGTGCCAAGGACGAATAACTATCGCATTCGTATCATAACAGTATCGAGCGAGTTAAGCGTTCTGATTGGTTGGTTCACTGGAAGCCGGCCAATCAGAGCGCCGAACGCGCTCGATACTATTACGTTACGAATGCGATAGTTATTCGTGCTTGGCACTCAGGTCTTAGTACGTTTAAAGTATTCGAAACGAGACCGCGTTCAACACTGTGATTGGCCGGCTCCAATGAACCAGCCAATCAGAGCGCCGAACGCGGTTACTTTTCTATAAACGTAAAACAAAGTCGTACTAAGACCTCAGATCAATTCGTAACATTAAGGTCTTCATAGTTACACGTATATCTAGAAAAACGTGAACATTCTCCATTGTTTTCGGTACAAAATCGTAACTAAGAAATAGTTTAGGTCATTAAAGGACTCTGAGTACGGCAGTTAATTAGACACGAAGTATTTAGTATAGTGTTTCATACATTAGTTACGAAGGTATGAAACACTATGAAACACTTTCTAAGTTCGTAGAATAATATTGTAAAATTAAACTGTCAAACACCAAGCGGTCACCGGTGACCGCAACCTATTGTTCTATTATTGTGTCTACAAAACCGGTACTCGACGAGTTAAATAGTTTATAGAACATAGGCATAGTGTAGACATAGTGTTATAATAAAACATTAAGAAATTGTTGATTTTAGATCTCTTTTAGTTTCAAAAGAGTATCCTTGCTCAAAGACTTTTACTCCAGATAGGACATTTCGTTGGGACAAAAAGGTCTTGGCAACCAGTTAAAATTACATAACATAACATAACATCACGCCTTTTATCCCCGAAATATTAAATATTTAAGT